AGTCCTCCATTCCGGGGACGTTGCTTATGATCTCTTGCTATGTATAAGACTTTTCCTTTTTAGTTATGTGTTGACTACAAGGGTGAGCCCGGTAGTTTGTCTTGGCCCCCGCTAAGTAACCATGTTTAGAGGTGGTGTTAGACAAGTTGTGTATTATGCTTGAGCTTGACTCATCTATGGTATTGATGTATCATTCTCTTTTTCTCTTGCTCCCTTAGTCCCTACTTCCCCTTGATTATGCTTATCACTTATGGTCATTTTAATTGCTTCCGCGACCAAGGATGTGTAATGATATGCTATGAGGCTTGTTTGGGGTTCCTTCGGGTTTCCCATTCGCCGATCACGTCTAGGCCCTAGGCTTGGGTCGTGACAGGATTAGGCAAGGAAGCTCCAAGAAGTTTTCTCATGGAAGCACATATCCATATAGTCATTTCTAGAATATTAAAACTTAGAGAAAATGAGTTCCCTTATCACAAACTAATAGAAGGGTCAATTTCTTACTTGCCGGAGTCCAGATGCGTAGAGTTAAAACAATTTGCAGTTACATTAGTTGTGATATCCCCAACATAGAAAGTTGTTCCATTGCCTCTGCCAAAATTTTTAGCCTTTCTAAGAAACAAGTTTAAAAGGGGATGCGTTGATGAGTCTTGGATATAGACTCATTTAGGGCTTGTTATACATCGTATTAGTGTCCTCGATGCTTATTTTGTGTTCTAAACTGATGTTTTAATGTTAATTTGTAGATATAAAGGCAAAAGAGCAAGGCAAGGACAAAACCAGGGAAAAAGATGAAAATGGCTGAAGATAGTGAAAGTTGAGAATTGCCAAAGCTACTTGGCAACTGGCCGAGTGGCATTTCAGCTCGCCAAAAGTTCCATACTGCCAACCCTGGGGAGAAGCCAACTTAGAGATAGATTTGAACTTTCGGCGAATCGCCGAACGAATCGGTGACATCCACTCAGATCGCCTAATGTTACAGAACTGTTGGTGAAGACACAGGCAAAAACAACGATTAGAAAGGACAAATGGCGAATCGCCGATCAGGTCGACGATCCCGACCTTGACCGCCTAATATTACAGTACCAAAATGGTGATAATGCAAGATATAAAGGCATTGGAAAGAAGCGTTTGGCGCATCGCCAACTTGTTCGGCGACAATCGACTTATACCGCCGAACGACCCCAAAGGCCAAATTCTGAGAACGTATAAATTGATTTTTAAGAAGATAAAAAAGGAGGTTATCATTGTTAGAGTCATAGTTTTGAATGAAAACATTGTTTTTGCTTAGTTTTGAAGAGTTATTCTAGTAGATTCTGAGTTGGGTTTTGGAGTTGAAGCTAAATTGAAGCATTGTAACTCCTCAGATATTAATACCCAGCTATGGAGAGCGTAATTGGTATTGATTTCTTTCTTTTTCTGATGTGTGGCTAAAACTCCCAATCTTGGGGGTGTGATTATGTGATTAATTGCTTTAATTAGCTTATGGGTATTTGTAGTTATTGATTTAATTGTTGTTTGGAAGTGGGTGTTATTGGTAATTGAGGTTCAATTTATGAAATGTAGTTGGAAAATGCAATTCTAACTTAGGGTCGTTTGGTAGGAGGTCTTAGGAGAAATAATCCATTTATTATGTATGGTATTATTTAGTACTATGTTTGGTAGAATTTTTGGGGCTAAGTATAATTAATCTATGGATTAGTTATACACCCTACATAGTATATAAGATGTATTACTAATACCTTCCATTTGGTGGTATTAGTTATACATTGGATTTAATACCATGGGATTATTTATGTAAAGATAAAAATATCCCTCAAATCATTTTATTTATTTTCTTGATTTTATGTTTTATATTTGTACTAGAAAAATTATTTAAACAAATTAACTTACAAATTTTATTATTTAGAGAGAGTTGTTTGTTAATAAATAAATGCAATACATTTCAATGCAATATTTAAAATGTGGGTTATTTAACATTTACTAATTGAAAAGACAAATATATCACCACATAACTTTTGTGATCTTAATTTAATATATTATTTGTTGATTTATATGTGGTTTCTAATTATTTGTATTTTGAACAATTTATAAATTACATACATATTAAAACTACAACTTGTAATTTTTATGTGTAAATGTAGATGATTTATTCAATTTTACTATTGTTTATCGTCTTTTCGGTTTTAAAGTAGATGATTTATCTATTCTAAATGAAAAATTAACGTTTTAAGTGATTAATTTATTAAGATAATAATTGTTTACCCTCAAATAATTCAAGTGAGAAAATTGCAAACATGACAACAAAATTGTTTCTCCTATCTAGTTAGAAGGTCATAAAAAAATAATACTGTCCCGACAATTATCTAATCGATTACATAAAATAGAAAATCTCATAACAGTGCAAGGATATAATTGGAAAGAAGCTTTTTGTAGAGTTTTAATCCAAACACAAGATGAGGTCAAAAGCAATGATAGAAACACTTGATAAAAAATATACCCTGCATTACTAATCCCAGCACTACTAATCCCTGCGTTATTAATCCCTGTGTTATTTTTTTTATCAAACAACCCCTTAGTATTCTATGCTTGTTCGAGAGAGAGGTCTTAGAGTTAAGATTACCAATTGATGATTGTAGTGATTGAGTTGTTGTGGGTTCAGTTCGAGAGAGTGAATCTTAATCTGAAACTACTTTCTAGCTCGAGAGAGTATATGAATTGAGGTAATGGTTGTTCATAGTATGTGCTTGTTGAGGTTCGAGAACTCACTTGATTCCTAGTAGTTGATCGAGAGATGACTATTAACATCTAAATACTAGCCTACCCACGAACACCCAACAAACTTTGATAATTAATAATCACCCATATAGAAAAATTGGAAATTAATCGATCACATCTCCAAGTATCCCTTATCTACTTAATTACTTCTCTGTTTTTCTTAGTTGTCAATTGACAAACCTTAACCCCTCATTTGACAATTGTTGTCAACCTTTTGATTTAGTTACATGATTTCAATAATTTCTATTCTTACAATCGATTAGAACATGCCTTTCACTTAGTAACTCAATTCTAAGTTGTATCACTCCCTCTGGGATCGACTCCAACTCTTTGTTGGTTTATACTAGATTGCAATCACCTACACCTAGTATTGGATGAGGTGTAGTTGAGTGTTATCAAAAATGGCGCCGCAGCCGGGGAGTGGTGTTTAGAATTCTCTTATTGAAGTATAGCTATGATCTAATCTTTAGTGTAGTTGGATCGACTTACTTTGTTTTGGGTTTGTTGTTGGTTGTTTGAGAATAGGTGACGAAATGAGTGTGAACGGAAGCACCGTGAACCAATTGGATGAACAAGATTATGTTGGAAACTTAAATGATGTCAATGAAGTTCAATTAGGTAGCGTAAGTGGTATTTGCTTACCTCCGGTCGTTGGATATGCTACATTCTATGTGATTAGCACGATGCGGCAACTATTGAAAATGAAAGGTGTATTCGGAGGGCTGGATCATGAAGATACTCATGCGCATGTTCGAAACTTTGTGGACATATGTAGCCCATTCTCTCTCAAGAATATCTTGTAAGAATTAGTCCGGCTTCGGCTGTTTCCGTTTTCTTTGATGTGGGAAGCGACCAAGTGGCTGGCAGATCTACCAAGGGATTTCATTTTGTCTTGGGAAGAACTTATTCAGGCATTCTACAAAAGATTCTTTCCACCCTCGAAGATGGTTAAGTTGCGAGACAATATTCGGAACATCAAGAGAGTAGACGGGGAACCGATTCAAGAAACATGGCTAAAATTTTAAAAGTTGCTGTCACAGTGTCCAACTCATGGGCTTCTGGGTAACGTGAAACTACAATACTTTTACCAGATTTTAGACTCAGTGAACAAAGGTGTAGCTGACCAGCTTGTCCGAAGAGGGATAATGTTACAACCATTTGAAGTAGAATCCACCCTTCTTGACGAAATGACAAAGATTAATCGGGTTTGGTACACTCAAGAGGACCAAGTATCTCCATTGAATTTCAGGATGAAGAAGGAACAAATTGATAAAGAGAAAAAGCGGGATGAGAATATTTGCAAGATCATGTCTCAAATGGAATTGTTGAGGAAACAATCATTAGAAAGCATTGATGAGAACAAGTAGGTAAAAAGAGTGTCTAGGCTTGAGGAGGGTTCTTGCCTGAGCTATTTAAAGTCGGGTGGGAATCAAGGTTGGAATACATTTATTGAAGAAGAATAGAGAGAATACAATCAAGGTTGGGATAACCAAATGACTTTTGGAAGAGAGAAGACAATCATAAGGAGTATCACATGCTAAAAGATAACAACCCAAGGTCTAAGGGTAGCTCAAGTAGTCTTCGAGTGGATGATTTATTGTCACACATTCTAGATAAAGTTGAAGGGTCTAATGACATGCTTAAGGAAATAAAGGCTGATTTCTCATCATTGAATAATAAGGTAAATTATCACGCGGGTTCTATTAAGCAACTTGAATGTCAAATGAGCCAACTTTCAACACAATTAGAACCCAAGTTGTTAGAGAAGACTGCAGATGATTATACGGCATGTTCAAAAGCTAATCGTGACAAAAGATTGGCAGTTGTTACACAAAGTGGGAAAACAACAAGTGGTGATGTGATGGTAAATGATGGGACAAACACCTGTGAAGAAGAGAAAGACACCATTGAGGTAGAGATGTACACTCAAGCACCAAAAAATAACATGCTAAAAAAGAATGAAGAAAACCCAAGGCAAAGCACCACTGAAGAGCTGCACATAGCTAAAGAAGGGGCTGCATTATCTCTAAAGTTAGTGCAACCGCTATCCAAAATCAATCCACCATTCCCTCAAAGGCTCAAAAAGCAAAATGATGATAAAAAATTTAAAAAAATTCCTATCTGTGTTCAAGTCACTTTCCATAAACCTTTCGTTAGTGGAAGCATTGTTGGAGATGTTGGGATACGCGAAATTCATGAAGGAGCTTGTCACTGAGAAAAGAAGTATGTATTTTGAAACAGTTGAAGTCTCTCAGAATTGCAGTGTTGTTATGACTAATCATGTGATCCCAAAGAAAGAAGATTCAGCGGTATTTACTATCCCTTGTGCCATTGGTATGCTTCAGTTTGCTAAAGCATTATGCGACTTGGGGGCAAGTATAAACTTGATGCCATATGCCATCGTTATGCAACTTTGGCTGGGTGAACCAAAATCAACAACAATGAGGCTTCTTATGGATGATCGGTCTATCAAACACCCCATTGGAATACTTTATGATATTTTGGTGAAGGGGGATAGATTTATCTTTCTGGCTAACTTTGTCATTTTGGATTGTGAGATTGACGCAGAGGTGCCTATAATTTTAGGTAGACCATTTTTGGCAAACGGAAGAGCTCTAATGGATGTTGAAAGTGGTGAGTTGAAGTTCTGGGTAAATGAAGAGGAGGTCACCTTCAATGTGTGCAAATCAATGAAGCAACCTAGTGACATTCGTGTAGTTTCAACCATTGATGTAATTGATGAAGCAGTGGCTAGTGTGAGTGAAATGATGTGTATGGGTGAACCTCTTGCTGCTGTCCTTCGAATTATGATAAGATCAAATTTCAAGTGTATGATGAAGGAGTGGATGCTCTATTGGGACTAGGTGTTCATGTAAGAAACCCAATGAAGCTTGATATTGATTTAAAATATTGGGAGAGTCCCCCCGCCAAACCGTCCATGGAAGAACCTCCAAAGCTTGAGTTGAAAGTGCTTCCATCTCATCTTAGTATGTATTTTTGGGATCAAATAACACCTTACCCGTCATCATTGCAGTTGACTTGCTTGAATGACAAGTAAAATTACTTGTAGGGGTGTTAAAGCGATACATCAAGGCTTTAGGTTGGACAATTGCTGATTTTGTAGGTATTCCCCCGGGGATTTAAACTCATAAAATTCAATTGGACAGCGAATGCAAATCGAGTGTTGAGCATCAAAGATGGCTAAATCCGGCAATGCAAGAGGTAGTAAAGAAAGAAATCATTAAGTGGTTAGATGCAAGTGTAGTATATCCGATTGCGGACAACAAATGGGTGACTCTTGTGCAATGTGTACCAAAGAAAGGAGGGATCACAGTAGTTCCAAATGAAAAAGGTGAACTTGTCTCTATGAGACCGGTTACTGGCTGGCGAGTATGCATGGATTACTGGAAGATAAATGCATGGACCGAGAAAGACCATTTTCCATTGCCGTTTATGGACCAAATGCTTGATAGGCTTGCGGGACATAGGTGGTATTGCTTTTTGGATGGTCATTCAGGATACAACTAGATTTCCATTGCACCGGAAGACTAAGAGATGACCACTTTCACATGTCCCCATGGGACATTTACTTTCAAAAGGATGCCTTTTGGGTTGTGTAACGCCCCGACAACATTCCAATGATGTATGCTATCTATCTTCTCTGATATGGTGGAAGATGCGATAAAAGTTTTCATGGATGATTTCTCAGTTGTTGGTAATTCATTTGAAGACTGTCTCGGACATCTTGGGTAGGTGCTATAAAGATGTGTAGAAACCAAACTAGTTCTAAATTGGAAGAAGTGTCATTCCATGGTAAAGGAGGGAAATGTCTGGGGGCATAAAATTTCAGGAAAAGGTATGCGAGTGGATCAAGCTAAGGTTGAATTTATTGCTAAACTTCCCCCTCCTATCTCGGTAAAAGGTGTTTAGAGTTTTCTAGGCCATGCAGGTTTCTATAGGAGGTTCATAAAGGATTTTTCCAAAATAGCACACCCTCTTTGCAAATATTAGAAAAGGAGTCGACTTTCAATTTTGAGGATTCTTGTCTAAAGGCATTTTTATGCTTGAAAGAAAAGTTGGTGTCAACTCCTATCATTGTTGCCCCCGATTGCTGTATCCTGTTTGAGCTCATGTGTGATACTAGTGGGGTAGCTTTAAGAGCTGTTCTTGGCCAACTAAAAGGGAAATTGTTTCATTCAATTTATTATTCAAGTAATACCCTGAATGTGGAGTAAAAGAACTACACCATCACGGAACAAGAATTATTACCGGTAGTGTATGCGTTTGAAAAATTCAGAGCTTACCTTTTGGGAACAAAAGTGGTGGTATATACAGATCATGCAGCCATTAGATATTTGATGGCTAAGAAGGATGCACAACCAAGGTTGATTAGATGGGTCTTAGTGTTGCAATAGTTTGATTTTGAGGTAAAATATTGAAAGAGGTGTGAGAATCAAGTGGCAAATCATTTGTCGCGATTGGTAACTCATATGATTGATCCCAAAGAAAGGGACATTGTAGATGAATTTCTAGATGAAACAGTGATGTGGGTAACCCAAAGCAGCACTCCTTGCTATGCTGATCTTGTTAACTTTGTAGTTTGTGTCTTAATACCCAAAGGTCTGAATTTCTACCAACAAAACCGGTTCTTGTTTGATGTGAAGAAATATTTTTGGGTTGAACAATATCTATTCAGAGAATGTGCAGACCATATAATTCGTCGATGCATAGCGAAAGAGGAAGTCAATGCAATTCTCAATGCTTGTCACACCTCACTTGTTGGTGGGCATCATAGTGGGGTGCGAAAAACAACAAAACTACTTCAAAGTGGCTACTATTGACCATCACTTTACCGAGATGCACATGATTTTGTAAAACAATGCATACCTTGCCAAAAGCAAGGAGGAGTATCAAGAAAGCATGAATTACCTCTTAATCCCATCCTCGAAGTTGAGTTGTTTGATGTTTGGGGTATAGATTTCATGTGTCCGTTTGTAAGATATTTTGGAAACAAGTACATTTTGGTGGAGGTCGACTACGTCTCCAAATGGGTGGAAGCTATAGCATTACCTAAAAATGAGGGTAAGAGTGTTGTACAGTTCTTAAAGCAATATATTTTTTCTCGGGGTACCCCACGTGCTATCATTAGTAATGGAGGATCTCATTTTTGCAACCGGATATTTACCTTATTGTTGAGAAATTACGGGGTCAAGCATAAAGTTGCAACACCATATCATCTACAAATAGGCGGCCAAGTGGAAGTTTCAAATCGGGAGATTAAAAGTATTTTGGCAAAAACTATGAATGCAAATTGGACGGATTGGTCTCGAAGGTTGGATGATGCTTTGTGGGCATACTGCATTGAAAACACCAATTGGTATATCACCTTATCAATTAGTGTTTGGAAAGTCATGTCACCTGCCAATTGAACTTGAGCATAAGGCTCTATGGGCATTGAAGACACCAAATCTAAACTGGGAGAAGGCTGTGAAAGGGAGAGTAACTCATATTTATGAGTTGGAGGAGCTTTGATTGAGAGCATATGAAAGCTCAGCCCTATAAAGGAGAAAATGAAGAAATGGCATGACGCTAAAATCTTCAGCGCAAATTCTGAGTCAGTGATTTTGTTTTGCTCTTCAATTCTCGTTTGAGACTTTTCGCCGGTAAACTTAAATCAAAATGGTCTGGTCCTTTCAAGGTGACTCGAGTATTTACAAATGGGGCAGTCGAAGTGGAAATAAAAGATGGACCAACTTTCAAGGTGAATGGGCAGCGTCCGAAACTCTATTTTGGGGAATGTCATGAGATATCAGTAATTGAAGTGGTGTATTCGGAAGATACTTGAATGTATTTCCACATCTGCCACGACGTTAAATAAGGCGCTTCTTGGGAGGCAACCCAAGCTTTAGTTATTTTCGAATAATATGTGCTGGATATGCAGGAAGAGGTGCTTGTGCGTTGGCACGACCATTTCGGTGATCCGCCAATTGGGTCGGCGGTCGCGACTTGGCTTGCCTTTCTCACATGACAGGAGAACCATCATCCTGGAATATTTGGCGAAGTGACCAGTCTTCTCGGCGATGCACCGATGAGGTTTGGCGAGCCAGACTTCGACTACCCTTTGATCACTCTTGAAGGGCCGCTGTTTTGGAACTTTCGGCGATCCTACTTGTTTGTTCAGCACTGTGATGTTTGCGTAATCAAGACACAACTTCCAATGCAAGTGTCTACGACCGTACAATAGTAAAGTAACCCAACCAAGGGTTGTGGTTGAGTCCCAAGGGAGTGGCCTCGAGAATTAATAGAAAAATAAAATTAAGTTCTAATTAGTCATAGCTAAAAACATTATCTAATGTAAACATGTTAAATCTAAGGGGTGACACAAGCGTCAATTATCAATGGGGGTTTGTGATAAATAAGCTAAAACAACAAAATTGCAAAGAGTACTAATTAAGGAGACGGGATTCTTGGGATGTGATAGGAATGCGGGATAAACGAGATTATTGGGTACATGCTTTTGATAGAGAATTTGTAGAATAATTGTGACTAGGCTAGACTTAAAGGGGGATAAGCTCTCTCTCGAGCAACTTACCCTGTTTCAAGTGGGTTTCTCTCGAATACCCTCTTGCCGCATGAAGAACAGCCTCCACCTTAGCCCACTCACTATCTCGAGCTGTGTGTGTGGGAATGAGACTAGGGTTCACTCTCTCGAGCTGAACCTCATGTTGACCCAATCCCACTGCCATCAATTTAGTAGTATTAGTTTTACGAGCTCTCTCTCGAGCAAGCCGAAAATACAAAGGTGAAATTGTATTTGAAACTACAATTTCATTAAGTCCGACCACAACTACTAAATGAAATCACATTTACACAACAAATAAACTATCAACAAGCATGACCCAACAGATAATCTAACCCATATTCACAAAATCAAACCCCAAGAATTGGGGTTTTAGCTAGACATGTAAAAGTGATAGAAATATATACCAAAATGAGTTTGCATTCAAATGTGTATGAATATTTAAGTCTCAAAACAAGCAAAGAATGAAGAATCCACAAGACCCAAGTCCAAATTCTTGGAGGTGAAACCCTTTGAATCTTCAAGTTATTCAAAACCCTCTCCAAACTTAGAACTCAAAAGTTTATGTTAAAAATTCTATATTAAAAATCTGATACTAAGCTACAACTCTCACCGAGTATTTATAGTTTTCAAAAATCTGTGCTGCAGCGGATCATTCGGTGTCGTTAGTCGAGATCGCCGATCAACTCGGCGATCCGCCCTTTGCTAGGTTTCATCGCCGTTTTTCTCTATCCTTCAGCATCATCGTGTTTTGGATCATTGGGCGACATAGTACTGCTTCACGAAACTATTCGGTGACTTGCCGACAACTCCTTTTCACCGTCGATTTGATTCTTTCTTTCAGGGCTCAGCATACTGGAACAAAAGCCGAGGATAAGACCTTTTGGCGATTCGCCGAATGGGTTCGGCGATTCTCAGATCTTCATTTCTTCGTTCTTTCATCTGCCTTTGTTCCTTTTTTGCTAAGTAGTGTCCATGCTTTCCCTCAAACTCCAAATACCTGGAACTTAAGGGTTTTCATCAGATATTGAGATAAAATATGCATTTGAGGACACTAATTCTATCAAAATATTTCCCTAAATGAGTCCAATTTGTGGACTTATCAACACCCCCAACTTAAACTTTTGCTTGTCCTCAACTAAACTCAACTTCAGCCATTCAAAAAGGGTATCTCGAACAGTGCTACACAAGACAATCATGAATGCACACAACAAGACTCAATTTACTTAAGCAAAGATCAAAAGTGCACTCAAAGATTCAAGTTGTGACTCACCAATATCGAAG